GAGAGAGGGAACACAAGCAGGGGGAGTGGGAGAGAGAGAAGCAGGCTTCCCGCTGAGCAGGGAGCCGGATGCGGGGCACCTGAGCCAAAGGCAGACGCTTAACGACTGAGCCATCCAGGTGCCCCCAAATTCAGGAACTTCTTATATCCACACAGTTTAATTTTCTTCCACTGTCATCATTTCTAAAGTAACACTTTTTCTTCCAATGAGGTCATAGCAAGTTAGTAAGTTATTTGCTGTGCAGTGATAGAGAAACATTAATTTTCCCATTTCCATAATTAGAATGACTCTTAATGCAATGCACAGTAAGCATTAAATGCTGAATAAATAACAGAAAAACTGAACAGAACTGATTAGAAATAAAAATCTAATTTATAAAATTCCACTTAGTAGGTTAATGCAGAAAATGTAATTCTTTTAGACTCTGAATATTTATAATACATAAACTTTCATTTTAACTAGTATGGGACATTAACTAGAAAGAACTAGCTATCACTAAAGACTAAGTGCCCTGTCTTTCCCCCAATCAAATGTGACAAAATTCCAAAGAGAAAGATCCATCATGTCTATCCAATTTCTCAAATGCTAATAAATACAACTGAGGAAAGAGAGAAAACACTAATAAGTGGGATTAGAACACAAAGCTATAAACACAAAGTTATTTAATAGTTAACTATCAAATCTCGTTTTCTAACACTCTACGGTGTTTAAAAACTCAAATTTTTATTTCAGCTTAATATAAAATGTATTTTCATTTTCAAGAGGCTAGTCTGGAAACAAGTACGTGTGGAAACAACCAAAGGTCAGAGATCCCTGATAGAGATCAAATAAATAAAAAGTAACTTGATGTTCCACAATAAAGATTTGGGACTGTTTCCGAGGCCCATGTTGACTGTATAGGTAAGTCTCCACCCAAGAAATAAAAGAGGCAAGATAAACATACTGGAGAAGGCCAGACAACGTCAAAGATGTCCCCAAAGACCCCTCACCCTGCTCTGGTTTCCTCCCTTTCTCCCTAATCTCAACGCCTCAGGGAGAAGTAAATCTGCATCTCACTTCCCCAACTCACCCTCAACTCCCAATCACTCGTCTTCTTTACTAAAACCTGGGTCCTCCTCCCCGACATCCTCTAATTCCCACCGAGCTCTCACTCCAGTCAGATACACATCTACTGCGCCTGTCTTCCGGTAAGGTATTAGTCTCCTTAATCCGAACTCATTCTTCCGCATCCCATCTGCCTTCCGCCCCTTCAACTCTGGTCCCCTCACTCCGACCTCTCTCCCATAATCCTCCCCAAGTCACGGATCTCTGGCCCCTTCTCCCTCCTACCCACTCAACTATAGCTCCTTTCTTCCCCCCCCCCCCCCCACTTCTCCCAGCTGGAGGCCCCCTCACCTGAACGCCGCTACCGCTGCCGTCCCAGAAGCCGAAACGTGCTGGCGCCGGATGGCCTCCCAGCCTCGGTCACCGCTGACCTCCTAACGGCCCCTAGGGAAAGCGAACGCCACCACCTCCAACTCTGCCCGCTCCGGGCCAGACCGTCACCGTACCCACTGCCAGTACCACAGCCGCCATGTTGAAGTTCTACTTCCCTCCTCCTTCCCCTCACCACTCCGCCCCTTTGGGCGTCTGACGTCATGGCGCCGCGCTCCACCCTCCCTGGGCCAATGGGAGGAGCCGACGGTGACGTAACTAATCTCTCTTCTGCTGCCCAACAACTCTAGATCCCTGGACCGCTGCAATTGGAGTGGGTGGACCCTGCTGACCCGAAGGAAGAAAGGGAAGGGTGAGGGTCACTAAAAGGGTAAGGCGTAGAGGCTGGTGAAGCGGCCTAGGCGAGAATCTGAGAGGTTCGAATCGCGAAGGGACGCATAAAGACTTACGAATGAGACCTACTTGGGAATCAGAATGTCTGGGTTCTGGTCCCGGGTCTGTGATCTGGTTCAAGTCCTACTCTTTCCGGGCCTCATTTTCCCCATTTACAAAGATTGGGTTGAAAGGCGACCTCTAAATCTCCCTCCAGTTGTGACATCCAGCGGTTTAAACTAGGTAATCCAATCCCAGACATTTACTGCCTTCTGCATTTATTGGATGTCACTTGGAATCAGGTGCATAGAGGATTCATAACTGCATGAGATGAATCTTTGTTCCCAAAAGTTCCTACTTGGTAAGAGAACTCGAAGCATTAACAGTTAACTCCACGAAAAATCGGAGAGTGATAATGGCCTAACAGTTGCATTAATTGCTCTGGAAAAATTGGCTTTTGGCTAAGAGATTAGGAAAGATTTACATCTCTACACTTTCTGGGTACATAAAGAATGTATAGACTTTCATGCCTAATTCTTCAGCCCTGTTTTCTCTTCAGAATTCCAAAGAAGGGGTGCCTGGGTGGCTCAGTCGTTAGAGTCTGCCTTCAGCTCAGGTCATGATCCCAGGGTTCCGGTATCTGCAGTATCCGGCTCCCTGCTTAGTGGAAGGCCTGCTTCTCCTTCTCCCACTCCCCCTGCTTGTGTTCCCTCTCCTGCTGTGTCTCTCTCTCTGTCAAATAAATAAATAAAATCTTTATTTAAAAAAAAAGAATTCCAGAGAAGATAATATTTGTACTTTAAAGGGTGCAGTATTTTTTTTAAAGATTTTATTTATTTATTTGACAAAGATAGAGAGAGCACAAGTAGGCAGAGAGGCAGGCAGAGGGAGAGGGAGAAGCAGACTCTCCACTGAGCTGGGAGCCTGACCTGGGGCTCGATCCCAGGACCCTGGGATCATGACCTGAGCCGAAGGCAGATGCTTAACTGACTGAGCTATGCAGGCGCCCCAGGGTGCAGCAGTTTTAACCCACAATGAAAGAAGGTGGGCATTCCAGAAGGGGGAAGTTAAGCAGAAAATAGCAAATCATCAATTCTGGATTATTTGCCGACTTAATTCAACAAATAATGGGCAGCGATAGAAGGTTTGTGGCAGAGCAGTGAGCTGAATAAAACTCTTCATCAGGAGAATTAAAATGATAGCAGTGAATAAAGTGAACTAGAGACTACGTGGCAGACTTCTGCACTGAGTAAAAAAGATTCACACCTGAACTAAAGCAGGGACAGCAGGGATGGAGACTAGGGGATGAACTGAACCAAGATTTAGGGGATTGACTCAATAACACTCCCATGTGGAGACCTGCTGCATGGGAGAATAAATCATAAAGAAGAAAAGCCAAGTTCTGGGGGTCTGTTTTTAACAGAAACAAAAAAGAAGTAGGGTTTACTGAAGTGCTAAAGGAAGTAAAAATGAGTTCAGCTGTCCAAATTATGATGGCAGATTTTCTGGAGGGATGTTCAGGAGGGAATGTGAGCTTAGAAATCAGAAAGAGATAAGGAGTACACATGTGTGGTATACTGATACTCCTTGAGCAATTAAACTTTTCATTCATCATTCAATAAGCATTTACTGAGTGCCAGTAGTATACCAAGCACTGTTCTATGCACTGGGGATATAGCAGTATATAAAAGAAACCCCCCCCCAAAAAAAAATTCCTGTTCTCACAATGCTTATATTCTAGAGGAAAATGACTAATAATAATGGTGATAGGTTAAGAAGAAAAAATAAAGCAGAGGAAAGGAAATAGAAGGCATCCATGATTGAAATTTATAAAGGATGGCCAGGAAAAGGTGACATCTGAGTAAAGACCTGAGTAAAGAAACTGAAAGATTTGCAGATGTCTAGGAAAAGAAAATGCCAATCCAAGGGAATACCAAGTACAAAGGCCCTGAGATGAAAGTTCACCTTCTATATTCTAGGAACAATGATGGAATGGAGTGAGCAAAGAGCATAATTGGGAGATGAAGTCAGAGAGGTAACAGGGGACTAAATCACATAGCGACCTGTAGATCATTTTAAGGACTTTGGCTTTTACTCTAAGTGAGCTGAAAGCCGTTAGAGAGTTGTGAGCTGAGAAGGGAAATAATCTATCTTTTTAGTAGGATCACTCTAGCTACTACACTGAGCATAAGCTAAAGAAGGGCAAGGGTGAAAGAAGAAAGACCATTTAGAGATTATTGCTACTACATTGTAGTAGTAGCATTGAAGGTGATTAGAAATGGCTAGGGTTCTGAGTACATTTTGAAGGGAGAGGAATAAGAATTTGCTCACAGATTAGATGCACAGTGTGAGAAAATGAAAGGACTCAGGATGACTTTAAGATTTTTGACTTTAGTCAAGTTCTTGCAGGTTTGGCTAGAAGAACAGAAATCAGATTAATTAAAATTTCTGAGGATAGGATCCTTTGGAACACTGACAAATTGGGCATGGGAAGAGGAAGCAGATAAAGAATGGAAACGTAGTGACCAGAGAAGTAGAAAAGGAATCAGAAGACTATGGTGCCATGGAGGATTAGGAAGGGAAAAGCTTTGGAGGAGTGGGCCTGTGCCTCTTAGAGTAGTACTCCCTGAGACCAGAGACAAGCCTCCCCCATCAGGTAAGAACTTTCTAAGATTTCCTCACCAGCCTTGGTCTCCTGATCCAATAATTTTTCCTTCTCTTCCTTCTTGTTTTATGTGAGAATCTGGTTTCTGACCATCTACTTCTGGGCCAGCCTGTTGTGTCTCCCTATCCCCCATGGACACAACCCATTCTTAAGAAATGGAAATGAAGTGGGAAACAAAAACTTCACCTTCCTAGGAGTGACTCATACTTGACAATTTCCGTGTTTGAATCCCAATGGTAATTCTCTTGGGGCCAGAAGAGGCTGAACAGGACCCCTGCCCCATGTCTTTCATTCCCAGTGCATCTAGACAGTACCAGCATACCAGCTCCTCTAGAAGCAGCACTCAAGCCAAGGGCACCAGCTTGTACTCCTCCCACTTTTCCTCTTCTTTCTCCCCCACTTCATACACTAGGCTTTTGGGGTGGGTCTAAGAGCAGAGACAGGAAAGACAACAAGCTCTCAATCCTTAGCCATCCAGCATTTACTAAGTCCTACCATATGCCAGCCATCACGAGTCTACAAAGATACTCTTAAGGTCAAGTGAGAGAATCAAACAGGTGTGCAGATAATGGTGGTATCGGGCAGAAAATTATCTTCCTAGGTGGCACATTCCATGCCTCAGGAATACAGAGAGGAGAAAGTTTGGGTAGACTTGAGAAATCAAGGAAGACTGCATGGAAAATTGAAGCACTTAAGTTAGGCCTTAAAAAACAGGTAGAATGAAGGGTGCCCAATACTGAGAACAAAGCAATTTACTCTTTTTTTTTTTTTAAAGATTTTATTTATTATTTGACAGAGAGAATGAGAGAGAGAGAGCACATGAGAGGGGGGAGGGTCAGAGGGAGAAGCAGACTCCCCGCCGAGCAGGGAGCCCGATGCAGGACTCGATCCCGGGACTCCGGGATCATGACCTGAGCTGAAGGCAGTCGCTCAACTGACTGAGCCACCCAGGCGCCCGAGAACAAAGCAATTTAGACAAAGGCATGGATTCAGGAAAGTTCCATGAAAATTCAGAATCATTAGGGTATATGTAGGAGAGCAGAGGAAGATAAGACTGGAGAGACCAAGCAGGAAGAGGCTTGGCTTGGGTTTAACGTTCTTTTTTTTTTTCTTTTAAGATTTTTATTTTTAAGTAATCTCTACACCCAATCAACCAGGCACCCCTGGGACTTAATGGTTCTAAGGCTATAAATAAAGTCACTGCAGCTTTTCCCCTGGGAAATTCAAGAGAAAATTCTGGATAAATCCTTAGAATCTTGGAGGTCAGGTTAAAATCCTTTGCCCTTCCCTAAAAGCTCAAGGTAACAGTTAAGGACTCAGGTCTCTGAGTGATTTCTGGGGTTTCTATGTGATGACCATCATATGAAGATGCAATTATCCTGATGACTACGAATGGATAAAGATGATTTCAAATTCCAGAAGGATGAAAATATAAACACATACACAGTAACTCTAAAATATTGGAAGATGGGGGCACCTGGGTGGCTCAGTCATTAAACGTCTGCCTTCGGCTCAGGTCATGATCCCAGGGTCCTGGGATCAAGCCCCCAATCGGGGTCCCTGCTCTGCAGGAAGCCTGCTTCTCCCTCTCCCACTCCCCCTGCTTGTGTTCCCTCTCTCGCTGTCTCTCTATCAAATAAATAAAAAAATAAAATCTTTAAAAGTAAAAAAAAATAAAATACTGGAAGATGGAACACCTGGCTGGCTCAGCCGGTGGAGCATGTGACTCTTGATCTCAGAGTTGTAGGTTCGAGCCCCACACTGGGTGTAGAGATTACTTAAAAAATAAAATCTTTAAAAAATATATATTAGGGGGTGCCTGGCTGGCTCAGTCGGCAGAACATGCAATTCTTGGTCTTGGGGTTGTGAGTTTGAGTCCCACGTTGGGTGTAAAGATTACTTAATAATAGAAAAAATAGGGGGCGCCTGGGTGGCTCAGT